CTTTCTTCTACTATTTCGGTACCCCATGGTTTCTGATGGCTTTATGTCTATTTAAAGACTAATATATATATATATATATAAATATATATATATATATATATATGGCGACATTGTATGCCGGCTTGGAATATTGCTGACATTCACATTGAGCGGATCGATTGGCATGGAATTAGGGGGTTCCATCGCTGCTTAAATCACATACTTTTCGAAGGCGAAATCTGTCGGTATAGCTTCGGTGCATAATTCTAGACAAAGCTCTATTCACAGCAAAAATCTCATGTGGAACTCGTCGTCCTCAAGTGCTTCCTGCCGATGTGTGGTGTACAAAGAATTGAATTTCAGCCTAAAAAGCTCACGCGCAGTGGAGAGCGGAAGTTTGCTAATGTGCATGAACCACGAGACCCACGGAATTTACGAAACTGCGCAGTTTTCGGAGATTCTGATAATTACACATGGTTGCTTAGCTTTGTGGTGTATAAACGTGCATGAAACAATTCTATTTAAGATTACTACTATAGTGAATTGTTGGATTTGCATGGTATAAGTTAAAACTGATCATGTTATGACTCAGCCAGACGGAACAGCATTGTACGACCGTAGCATCCTTTCGAGAATCGTCAGTAGGGCGCGATCCACATGCTCCGCGTAGGATCACAGCCCGCAATCCTATTCTGCAAGCCAGTGGCTAAGACAACTGGGCCATGGGGAATAGTAACGACTGCTGTGACAGTTACAATTCCCAGCTCACTCTCCCTAGAACTGCGCGCTACTGCTATGCAAGGGGCAGGGCAGCCCCTTCCAAACAACGGCTTTCCGAGCTTCAGCCGTTATTTAAGTCGTCAGTAGAAGCATTATGGTCTTCGTACTGACTACAAGAGATCAGCAGAGGCCTACCAGTGTGGGGACAGTCAACTGAGTGCTGAGTTCAAACCCTGCTGATGACAGTTTCAAATGCAGTCTCACAATCAGCTAATACGTCCTCCATCGGGAGCGCCACGGGAGGTTACGCATCAGACCAGAGTGGATGGTTCGAGCTGCTCGGGTAGACTGAGCAAACACTAGTTCGGTATTGAGCCCAAAACTCAGATAGCCTTGAGTTGATGGTAAGATCATGCCTAAACTGTAATAGGTAAGCTTGTATGAAAGGTGGACGGAAAGGGACAGAAACAAACGACACTTAGGGAACATTAGAAACTGAAAATCAGGGGCTTTTAAACGATTTCGTCATAGCTAAACTGTTTCAAAAGTGCCGCAACCCGAGAAAGTGCTGGATAGTCGATACAATTTATTCGGACCTATTGGCGGGGTGCGTACCCAGTGAAATCCTTTGAGATTCAAATTCAGGAGCATACAAGGCTTATGCCACGGGGTACTTTATCTCCTCCCTGATTGATTGATCGATCAGTAAAAGAGCAACCGCATTGATGGCTCAGGAAATTGAGTGCACAGTGAGCGGAACCTGGAAGCAAAGAACACTGAACTGTAGATGGCTACACAAGCGGCTCACGCTCAGGAGTGCTACGTAAGCGTACAGAAAACACGGGTGGTCAGAATCCATCTGTGATCATTTTCTCATGGGGCGAAAACCCAAGCGATCTCGTGGGAAACACGTGTTGGTCGTCGTTGATCCAGTGTCAGTTCCATCCAGCACTAACTCCCCCAACCGACTGTTCATTTCAGTTAAAAACAACAAAGAGATATTGTGAGAAACCCAAGTACCTCGAATTTATTCAAGCGGAAGTGGAGCATTTCAAAACACCTCAAAGAAATGGCACAGGTCGTGGCCCTTCACCTTAGCTGATATCCAGTGATCTCGTGCCATAGTATAAAAAATAACGCGGTCGGACGTGACGGAATGCATTGCGAATGCGATTTGATGGGGTCCGAGGAGTTAAGATAACGGTCCAAAATCTTAGGAGTGGAATAACGTGCCCGAAATCAGCTTACGAATCATGTGAAAATAGGCGACAAAATAGCTGAAGGGATGGATATTGACAAGGCGGGACCCAGAGGTTCCACAACGCTGTGAAGTGGATAGCTTAACAAGGTAATGGACCAGAACACAACTGGTGAGCACGCGCTCCCAAGGAAGAGGTTGACCTCCGGTCGAGGATGGAGATAGTTGAGAAACCACCGGTGATTCAATAAGATAAAACATTGGATCCTCTTTAGCCACTTGATCAAAGATTGCTCGAAGCACGTATATAATCTATCATCTGCTCAATTCACTCGCCCGCAGTTGGAAGTGCTTTCTCTTGGAATGAAATATCGGTTGCCACCAAAGACGATAGACGAGCGCAGCACGCAGGCTGAGTTTGAGTATCTGCGTGACCAGCTTAGTGATCTCTCGCCAAGATCCATAGAAGATGCGGGCTGGTTTCGGGCAAATGTGGTGCATATCGCGAACCAATTTCTGAATATGCCAATAAGCCAGAGATGTTGCCTGAAGGCTGAACACTGTGCTGCGATCAGAGAGTCAAAAGAAATGGTACACCTAATCTTCCTGCAGCCAGACAAAGAATCAGGCATTGTAATAACGAACAAGGATGACTGCGTTCCAAAAATGGAGTCTATCTTGGGGAATAGAAGTAAGTTTCTGATAGACGCGACACCGGAGAATAACATCTTGGTAGAGAAGGTGGCCAGAAAACTCCTGATTGTTTGGCTACACGGATACATCACTGAGTCGCAGTACAGGCAGCTGAAACCGACTGGGACGCATACACCGAGAATGAGGGGCGCGCCTAAGTTACACAAGTCAGGTAACCAACTGCGTCCGATTATGTGCATGAACAACTCGCCTTATCACAACACTGCCCGGTGGCTGGCGAAACTCTTAGATCCCGTGCGTAAACTCTTGGCTACGCACTGCCTGAAAGATTCATTTGAACTAGCGGAGACGCTAGAACAATTCTCACCGGGTTCGGAAGTAATGTACTCTATTGACGTGGACTCTCTAGTCACAAATGTGCCACTTCAAGAAATAGTTGATGATTTGTGTCAATTCATCCTGAGTCAAAATATGTATGTGGGTCTCCCTGTGGTATATTTGTGAGATATGATTTTACTGTGTACAGAGAATGTACGTTTTGAGTTTGAGGGGACAACATACAAGCAGATGGACAGAGTCGCTTTTGGTAGCCCTCTGGGACCGGTCTTGGCAGATATCTTTCTAGGCTTGATCGAAAGGCAAGTCGCTGCCAGAATTGGTGAAGCAAGGTTATACAAAAGGTATGTGGATGACATTCTGGTGTTCACTAACAGTGAACATTTTACTCGCCGATTAACCACTCTAAATTCAATTCACCCCAACCTATCGGTCTC